CCAAACCAGTTTCGGCGTGCAACTTTTTTTTTTTACACCCTTACTTTCATGGAACATTTTTGTATAGATCTTTTAAAATGTATTTATCTCTTTGATGATTAATATCTAACATTTTCATGCACCGTAAAATCTTTTTAGATTATGACTTTAGGAGTCTTTGCAGCAGACAGGACCAGCCAGCCCCTGATTAGGAAAGAAGTTAACTGAGACTCTCAGCTCAGCCTTCAGTGGCTGTTTGAGGGAGCAGCCCCAATGCGTGCATTAGGCCATCTCTCCATGAAAATCCTGTCCTGTTTAGAGCCACAGTCTCCTGCCAGTTTGTAAATAGCCTTGTTCCTAATTTATCTCACTTCTCTTTTCGGAGCCAGTGACCCAGATTCATTTAGCTGCAGGGCTGTGCGGACGGGTCTCCATATCGCCATACTAGAAAAAAGTGAGAAGGAAATCATCAAGCTTCCTAAAAATGGAGAGAAAATCTCTCACACAGTTACTTTAAATCAAACCAGGCCTGTGTTAGGAACTAAGATGCCCCAGTTCCTCTCTAGGTCCATCCCTGTTTGGCTTCTGCCCGCTAAGTGCAGTCTATTTCTTCCACCACTAGGTGGCAATGCCGTTTTCATTCAAGCGATAATTCTGTTCAAAACAAAGAGTAAAAATGAACTGTTTTCACTCCATCAGGTTGGTAAACAAAAGTCTTCAAATTCTTGTTAATGAATGTGTGGGAAAGCAGGAAAATTTCATACATCACTGGTGGGAACATAAAGATGATTTGGGAGGGGAACTGGGCAGTAACGTTTAAGCTGTGCACATACTGGGGCCAGCAAAGATGCGTCCAGGTGTGCTCATTTGATGATGGCGGTTAACATTTATTTTGTTCCCATGATGTGCCAGGCGCAGTCCTAAGTGCTTACATCACTGTACTGCTCTATTATAATAGTAAGAACTATATTTCTCCCCGATTTACAAATGAGGAAATCAGGCACAGAACGGTCCGATAACTTGCCATAAGGTCACAGAGCTATTAACTGGCAAGAACCACAATCGACATCTTGCTTCCACCACGTTGCACCTGCCTCCTGAGTGCCAGGAAACACGCACAGGTGGGTGTTGTTCACTGCACCACTGACTATAGTAGCAAAACATTGTTAGTCAGCCTGTCAGCCCAGTGGCGAGAGAGACAATGAAGCCTGAGGAAATATAGGTTTGGAAGTGGTCACCTCACGAGATCTCAAAAACAAGTGGAGATAAAGCAAGTGAAATAAAAAACATCGAAAGTACAACCGTGTATTTTTCATGGAGATCAGCAGGGGTCGTAAAACTGTAAAAGGATATACTGGAAAGATACCCTCCAAATGTATAATGATGTTTATCTCAGGGGAGAGAAATGGGATTAGGGAAACAAAGGCAAGGACTTATCTGTGATGATCTATTAAAAACTCCTCTCCCTCACTCTTTTTTAACTTTTAAAAATTGATTTCAGACAGGAAGGGAAAAGATAGAAACATCAATGATGAGAATCATTAATCGGCTGCCTCCTGCATGCCTCCCTCTGGGGATTGAGCCAGCAACACTGGCATGTGCCCTTGACTAGAATTGAACCCAGGACCCTTCAGTCCACAGGCTGATGCTCTATCCACTGGGCCAAACTGGCTAGGGCCAACCCTTCTCCCCCCAATCTTTAAAAAAAAAAAAAAAAAAAAAAAAAAAAAAAAATATATATATATATATATATATATATATATATATATATATATATATATTTTATAGAGGGAGAGGAATAGAGTTAGAAACATCGATCAGCTGCCTCCTGCACACCACCCCCCTCCCCCACTGGGGATGTGCCCGTAACCAAGATACATGCCTTTGACTAGAATCGAACCTGGGAACCCTCATCCACAGGCCAACGCTCTATCCACTGAGCCAAACTGCTTTTGGCTTCCCCAATCTTGATCATAAAGGAACTAGCCGAAACCAGTTTGGCTCAGCGGTAGAGCGTCGGTCTGCGGACCGGAGGGTCCCGGGTTCGATTCCGGTCAGGGGCGTGTACATTGGTTGCGGGCACATCCCCAGTGGGGGGTGTGCAGGAGGCAGCTGGTCGATGTTTCTCTCTCATCGACGTTTCTAGCTCTCTATCTCTCTCCCTTCCTCTCTGTGAAAAATCAATAAAATATATTTTTAAAAAAAGGAACCCCTAACCCAGAACATCATTTTATGATTGGATTCATACATGCATTCCTCAAACCTGACCACTGTTATTGTCAAGGCAATACTCAATCAGGGAGCTCTCCCCAGAGATTCTCTCAAGCTCCCTTCTATAGTATAACTTTAAAGGTTCCCAGGTTCTGCTTCCAGCATCAGCCCATCTCTGCTTTACCTGAAGGCTTCAGAGGTTGCAAGGAAGGGAGGGAGGCAAGGAGAATCAGTTCTGCCGTGTACTTAGTAATTATTGGTTTAAGACAGTGTTTCTCTTTAGGGTACAAACTCCAAACACTTTAGTATTTATTTAAAAAAAATAGTTCCAACTATTTCTTTGCTTCACTTTTTTGTGTGTCTGGGAGACAAAAGATAGGGCAGGTTATAATAAAATGTTTAATTGCTTAGCCCTCTCCAACTCCTTTTACTAGTAAAGCTGGTAGGCAAATTGGTTACCTGGTAACACACTGACTTATGACTAAATCCTCTTCCTGTGTTTACCAGAGTCAACAAATATAAAACTATAGGTCATATGTTCACTCATTTTCCTAGAACTATAATGGGTTTATAGAAAGAAGTTAATGTTCTCAGATCAACAGGTATTAATGGCTCTGAACAAGAGGCCAGGTCTGAGGGGGGGAAAAAGTATTTTTATTGATTTCAGAGAAATCAGTAAGAGAGAATCATGGGCTGATTGCCTCCTCCATGCCCCATACAGGAGATTGAGCCTATAACCTGGGCATGTGCCCTGACTAGGAATTGAAAAGTGATCTCTTGGTTCATAGGTCAATGCTTAATCACTGAGCAACACCCGCCGGGCTGCAAAATATTGACTTAGTACCAGCTTGGAGCTTTGCCAGCTTCATTAAATGCAGTCTTATTAAATGCATTAAGCAAATGTAGAATTGCAGAATGAAATGCAGCTTTAAATCTAATGGACTATCTCAAAGCTGTCTAGAAGATTACCTTTTATACTTCTATGAGGTAAGCCCCTTCAGAAAAGAATACTTTAAAAAATACTTTACCTCAAATTGGAGACTCTCTCATTTCAAATCCTGTTTCATTTCACAATTTCTTAGAATAGGTAGCAACCAAAAACTAGTAATATACATGTTAATTCTTTAAAAAGTTGATTCATTTAGAAACTCAGATTTGGCTTTCTCCTCTTATGCCATAGTGGTGAAAATAATTTTACCCTTATCAACATTTCCTTCTCAAAGGATTGAGAGTTCTTTAATTGGTGAGATCCGAAAATTACCAGGATTGTAGTGAGAAATTGGGGTGCCCTTATGTGGTTCAGGGAAACCTACCTAGGGATTTATCTTCACTTTCTATCAACCATGTCTTCTTGGTCAGACTCCAAGGATCTTTATGGAACTTTTCACACCACCACTAGCTTGGGCCAAAGTGAATTTATGTTAACCCAACAGAACTGTATTAAAATGAAGGCTCCTTGGGTCTGGTTTCCTAAATCCCAGGGTGAAACTTATTAGAGCAGCATGTGAAAAAATCTGCTGGTACAATTTTTAATTTTCTCACTTGATGCCTGACCTTGGATATTACAGGTTACAGGAATATATTCTATTTTAAAAAATGTAGATGTGTATAGTCAATAAGTGGTCACCCACAAGCCTCCTCTCTCCCAAATAAACCTTACTTTCCTTGACAGGTGACTGATTCGGGACACCTCCTTATATTCATTTACATAAAACATAGACCAAAGCTATTAGGCCAGTGGTATAATTCTGAATATAAAAAGTCTAAACATTTTCCAGGTTTGTGAAATTAACTTATAAACAGAGAAACTAAAACAAAACAAAACCAAAAACTTCATTATTTTACTCACATCTTGTATTTTATTTATAATTATGGCTAATAAAAGAAACAAATTGTAGCATCCTACGATTTTAAAATAGTAACTGTAACTTAAATGCTAACCCACTTCATAAAACAGGGACCCATCCCCCAAGGCTATAGTGGGGATTTTACTTGTTTCCCAAACCCAGTGACAACTAATAGTTTTTATTACTTATCAAACACCCCTCAAAAAATATAGTTTCCCACAGCTGAAAAACTCCACAAGTGATACATTTTCTCTATGGACATGATTCAATCAACAAAGCAGAATATAACTAAAATACCTACAATTACCTCTCAGGGTTATTTGGTGGTATGCCAATGATATGGTGAATATGCTCTGTCTTTCCCCAATGCAGTATTTATTCGAGGCTAAGGAGTCACATATTTCTTTTTCAAATATGTTAAATGGAAATTTTCTTTCCCAAAGAAATAGAGAACCACAATATATAAAGCAAGTTCTAGGAAACTGTGCTGACAGTAGTAGTTGGCTGATGTGAGCTCCTTCTCCACATACCCTGGGACTACCATGGGCCCTTCCCTTCTGGTGTAACCCTGGGGAAATGCTTGGCACACCAAGCCTCATTGCCCTCCAATTTTTTAAAGACTGGGCAGCTTGCCCAGGACACAAAGAGGTCCCATGGGGTCCAAGAGCCACCACCACTGTGCCAATCCTGGCTGACCTTTTTTTTTTCCAAGTAAATCATAGTCAGCGATAGCATGGCTGATCTTTTGTATGCTGAAGTCCAGTTTTTTTTTTCCCTAAACTTTTCTGGCTTTTCAGTCTTTTTCTTTTTTATTGAAATAAATTTTAACAAATTAATACTTCTGCTTTGTGTTAATGCAGCTCTCAGAGCCTGTGAGACCTCCATCTTAGGTCACAGTAAACAGCACTATATTTTCCCAAAAGTGTGAGAAAGTGCTGAATATTTCCAAAGAGCATCCTGCCCCTAATCTGGTTTCTGAATATTCTGGTTCTTTTCCTTTTTTGTATATTCTTCTAGTCGAAGAAGCCACTTTGCCCAGTATTGGGAACACAGCTCTGTGTCCATGAAATGTGGGTGGGCAGGGGATCCATCTTTGTAGGCCACGACAATTAAACCACATCGAACCTAGAAGAAACACAGTAGGGTGAGAGAGCTTAGGTTAATTTCCTTCTTACTCCAGGGCAAATTTAGAACAAAACAATCTACAGTAACATCTGCTAACTCCATTTCTAAGATGGGCTGATGAAAGACCACACCAGGATACACAAGAACACAAAGATGACAGATAACACATTGAAGAATGGACTGCCATCATTAAAGAACTGTTAACAACAATAGCAAAAAGCGCAGAAGGGGAAAGGTGCTTTTTAAAGTGGCAGATAGACAAGGAACAAAGCAAACAGTGGGCTACAAAGAGTATAAGAACCACAGTGAGTTAAATAGCTTTAAACAAGTGTTGCTTTAAGCAGAGGTTCAGTATCCTGACCTGAAAGCTATAGTTGGCATCATGGTTTATGGCACCCATGTACGCCACAACCTGCAGCGGATTGTCAAATGTATTTCGGATAAGAGGTTTTGGTTTTTCCGATGTTTTCCAATCAATCACACATAGGTTGCCTCTAAAGAGAAACCAAAGAAAAGTCTTTGTAGGTAATAGTTAAAACTAAAAAACTCTACTAAGTTAACCCTCTTACATATAATTTACTACTTGTCAGCCAATGATTGTTGCTTCTATTCTTCACTTGCCAAAAAGCTGAGCTTTACCTCTTAGGATTAGAAAGATATGACATCTTTTTGCTTTGAGCCCTTTATTCAGTAAATGAGCCTGTCAGGAGTTTGATGAAAATGTTTCCTAAATTGCACTGGTGACATCTACAGGTGGGCCCACGTGGGAGAGCTGGGAAACAACTTTTCTAAAGTTTCTATAGACTCTCCAAATACCCTGGGACCTCCAAGGCCTTCTTTCCTTTAACAAGTGACAGGGGAATTGAAGCTACATCTATTATTACCTTAGTTGATTTTGCTTCAAATGTCTATACAATGAACCACCACAGGCCAATAACAAAGTCCTCATCATAAAAGACTAAACAACCTGGAGCTTTAGAAATTCTCTTGCTCAAAAACCAAGGCTGGGGTTCAAATCCATTAACACTTAAAAAAAAAAAAAAAAAAAAAAAAATCCTGGCCCTAGCCGGTTTGGCTCGGTGGATAGAGCATCGGCCTGCAAACTAAAGAGTACCAGGTTCAATTCTGACCAAGGGCATATGACTGGATTCCTGGCTCGATACCCCGCCCCTGGCCCCAGGTAGGGGGCCTGTAGGAGGCAGCCAATCAATAATTCTCATCATCATAGATGTTTCTCTCGCTCTCCCTTCCTCTCTGAAATCAATAAAAATATATATATAAAAAAAAAAATCCTGTCATTTTTTTTTTTTTTTTTTTTAGCCCAGTTGGCATAGCTAGCAGATCAAGATGCTATTTTTAGGGGAACATGAAAGAAAATCCAGGAATCAAATTTGATCTCATGGCTGATACCTGGCTTGGGAGGAGAACATGCTGGAAAACAGGCCATCTTAGGGATATTAAGAAGTTATCTTAAAAAAAATAAATAAAAAGGAAAAAAGTTATCTTTTTTCCATCAAACATTTTGATTTTGGAAAACAAATTTACAAGGTTTATGTAGCTCTTCCCTCTGTATCCATCCTTACCCAATTCTTTTACCTAGCACACAGGTTTTGACTTTAAAACCTTTTACCTGTGCTAGGTAAAAGAATTGGGTAAGGATGGATATACTTATACTTCCATAAAAACAATCTAGCCAAAACCGGTTTGGCTCAATGGATAGAGAGTTGGCTTGGGGACTGAAGGGTCCTGGGTTCGATTCCGGTCAAGGGCATATACCTTGGTTGCGGGCACATCCCTGGTAGGGGGTGTGCAAGAGGCAGCTGATCGATGACTCTCTCTCATCGATGTTTCTACCTCTCTATCTCTCTCCCTTCCTCTCTGTACAAAATAAATAAAATATATTAAAACAAACAAACAAAAAAAACCAATCTAATACTTACTGATACTCAGCCACACAGTCCAGCAGACCTACATACTTTAAGGTCTCATGTTGAACAGCGCTTTCAAGAGCTTGAACTCTACTGACATCTTTCAGAATATGCTGGATGCTTTTGATGTAGCCAGACTCACGGTTCTCATCTCCCTCTTTTAAGTTCCCCTGGGGTGAAAGTATGCTTTCCAAGGCTTCATGGAACTGTTTCCCTTGTAAAAATAAGTCTTAAAAAAAAAAAAAAAAAATCAAGAGAAAAGGAAAAACAAAGAGACCAAACTAGTACTAAAAAACAAGTACTCTAAAAAATTCTGTTACAAGATTTACTTAATTTTCTTTAAAACACATGTAATTACTTGTTTAACATGTGTGCACACATGCATGTTTTTTTCTAAGATGCTTCAAAATAATTGCATTACTCTTAAAAAAGTGCTTGGGTACCATCACTTGGGGTAGATATACTGCTTTCTCGGAAGTATAGTCTAAGGCAGTTGTCAGCAACTGATGGTCCGCGGACCACTGGTAGTCAGTGAGGTCCGAAAGGTTGCTGGTCTAAGGAATGATCAATGTAAAACTTAGCTTTAAGAAAAGACAACTACCCAGTCCTGATGAGATCAGTTAATTCACCTGTGCAATGGCCTTTCCTTTTTATCTTGCTTTTGAATTGAATCTTGTTTAAAAAAAGTTATTCTTTTCAATTGTCTAGTAAATTAGGAGTTGAAGGCTAAAGTTTATTTATTCTCAGTAACTAATCAAGAGCATCTGATTATCTCAATTTACCAAGATTTAAATACAGATGATGTGTTCTGGCTTACTGTTTTAATTTCATTAGTGTGGCTTGTCAGTCTACCTTGATAAGTAGAACAAGGAGTATTTACTAGATTCTGAACAGAATGCCTAGCAAACAACTAGAATTCCATTATCAGGTGATTTTCTTCCATAATCAAAAGAAAACAGGCAATTCTAACACTTAAGTTTGTAGCTTATAAAATAAAGTTTATACATCATTTTGTCAAAATACTTGATCTCTTCGCTTGTTTCATTTGTGAAATGGGGACAATAGTATCTATGCTTTATAGAGTTGTCATGAGGATTGAGTTAGACACACAGTGCTATTTAAAGCTAATTATTATCTGAAAGTAATTCCTCACTAGTTAAGATTAAAACCCCCCCACAAATTTAAAAGAATGACACTAGTGCTGTATGTTCTAGAAAACATAGTAACAATATAGAACTAGGATTAAGAAAATTACCTGAAGTATACTCTGCAAAGCCATCCTCTCCCAGTTCCAGAATCATCCGCTGTTTCCACCTCTCTAAATAGAAAATCTGTTCTGATGTCATGGTCTGCTGGAGGACCCGGGTCACACTTGGTATCTTATTCCTTTGCAAAGGGATTTTCAAAGGAATTGTCGCACCACCTGTAGTATTTGGCTTTAAGCTTCTCTGTGGATTGAAGAGAGGAAACCAGTTTCCTGGAACTCTTGCTTCCTCATCTTGCTTTGGGGCCTTACACTTACTCACAGGTCCATAGAGTAAAGAATCTTCCTCGAATAATGATTCCGGAGTCTGAGCAGGGCCTCTGAATGACAAGACAGACTGTACTAAATCAGAGTACTTTTCTTGGTTCACCTCTTCATAAGGGTTCACTTTTTTCTTTCGGCCACATAAATAAGAGGAAGTGGAGAAACCCAAATGTGGGGATAGTTCTACAGAAAATCCCTTTGAACTTTTAAGCTGCCTGTAGATGGTCTGAAATGCCTTCATCTTTAGACTTTTTCACTTCCCTCTAGTCTCCTTGCAATGCGGAGGGTCTTTTTAATTTTTGCATTCCTATTAAAGAGAAAAGTGGTGTTAGGGGCCAAATTATTTTAACTATTAGTGTGAAAGTGGCATCAGTATAATACTGCACATTTAAAAGCCTGTTCAAAAAGCTTTTGCAACATGCTCAGACACAACTATTTCCTAAGAAAGGCCCTTGTCAATACCCTAAGGACCAGCTCCTACTAGATTCAAAACAGCAGCTTGGGCAAGACTTCCCCAATATTCTATCTGAAGAAATGTGATGCCTAGGAACAGAGGGAGGAGTGTGAGTCACGAGAAAAAAACAACTCTAGGATCCATCCTGTAGCCAGGAGTCACAACTAACAATTTCCCATGGATCCTTAATATCAGATTCTTTGCTAAGTATTCTGTGTGGAGATTTCTCATTCAACCCTCACACCCTGTAAGGTGGGTACTATTTCCACCGCTTTTTACAGAAGTGGAAATCAAGCTTCTGAAAGTCATGCCAGGTCCCAGCTGGAAAGCACGGCAGTCAGCAGGGAGCACCTCTGTGTTCCCCATAAATCAGCCTCCGGTAGTAGGCAGTTAAGACAGACATGAACAGAGCAAGGACCATAGGCAGCTACAGAAGGTAACCAGGGTGGAAAACCCCAGATATCTATAGTAAGGGATAATCACTCGCCCCCAGGGTGACTTTCCTTCCCCTAGCAAAAAGCTGGTCGAGTGGTTTTGATCTCTCTGACCTTCCCTCCCTAGGAGAACATCTATGCCTCAATTGTATTTCAGCTCCAGGTCCAGAAAAGCAGCAAAACCAGACCAGCGACCTCCTCCCTCCCACACCCCCTTACTCAGGGCCAGCAGCACTGCATAATGACCCCTACCCTGGGGCTGCTCAAACAACCAGTGAAGACCACAACCCTGAAAGGACACACCTAGAAAACTAATAAATATTCTACTGAGGTCTTCCCCTAAAATCTCCACCTTAAAACCGTTAGCTGGAGGACCCAATGTGCTCCCCCTCCCCCCAGGCACCTAGCCATTAGTTCCCGAACTTCCAAGCTCCAAGGGCCCTTCCTTTTTTTTCTTTTTGGTTTTGTTTCGTTAATCCTTCCCCGCAGATATTTCCCCATTAGTTTTTAGGGAGAGTGGAAGAGAGAGAAGACACGTGAGGCTGGCTGACTCTGGCCTAAGCCCCGATCAGGGTTGGGTTGGGGAGGAGCCTGCAATAGAGTTTGGCCCTTAACCGGAATCCAACCGGGACGACCGCAGGCCAATGCTCTATCCGCTGAGCAAAACCGGCGAGGGACAAAGGCCCTTCCTTTTCCTCCGTAACAGATTCCCTCAGACCTTCTCTTCTACCAGCTACTTTTCCGACCTCTGTGATTTACCAAATAAATATTCTCTTTACAGTTTGGGTCTTGGCTCCGAATTCTTTCTAGCCAAAATCCAAGTACCCAGGTTGCTGCTGGAGGATCGGTGTGACCCCAGGGGTCGGGCTCCTGGAGCCATTAAAGGCAGCCGCCTACAACAGAACCATGTTGGCGGTCAGAGTGCAGTGGCCCTTACGGTGGGAGTCAGGACTAGGGAGGAGGCGGCTTCAACAGAAGCCTAGCCCAGGGCAGGGGTAGGTACCTTAACGGCCACCACCCTTCGCTTAACTCCCACGTAGCTAACAACTCCTCTTCGGACGCGTATTCTCATCGTTCCCGCGCTTTGGTCTCGAATTAGGCTTCCGCCCGGCCAAGGCGGTCCCAGCATGCACTGCGCACTGCGGCGCGCACGCCCCGCCCCTAGCCCTTGATTCACCTCCATAAGCACGCGATTCTCCGAGAGTCCCGCCCCGATCCCCCCCCCCCCCGTCAGCAGATGCGCAGGCGCGGGCAGATGCGCGGGCGCCTCCAAATCGCGCCCTTTCGCTCTCGCGAGATCTCGATTACGTCACAGCTCGTGGCCATCTTGGACCCTGGCTAAGTAATAAATTTCGCCGCACGACAGCACGCTCTTTCTTGAGACGCGCCTATCGGGGAGTGTGTCTGGCTCTGCGTCCCTCTCGCTGCCCTGTGGTCTGCGGCTCCCGCGTGGCCCGGAGCGAGGGTAGGCCCCGCGTAGCTTCTTTGCCCGGCTCCAAGATGGACGGGGGAGGCCGCTGTGGGGGAGCACGTGGCGTGCCGCTCGCCTTTCCTGGGGCTTCTGGGATGGTGGCGGAGTCTCGAGGCCTCCTGCCGCCGTGGGGCAGGGAGGCTAGCGGAGGCGGGGCCGCGGCCGCGGCCGCCCCTCTAGGCGCCTCGGCGGCGGCGGGCGGCCCAGCCTCTTCTTTCCTCGCGCAGCCCGGCAGCCCGCGCTCGAGACCCGCGTCGCCATGGCCGCGGTTCCCGAGGTGCTGCAGCAGCAGGACGAGGACCGAACAAAGGTGAGGCCTTTTCCAGGCTCCAGGCGGGAGGCCCGCTGCCCTCTCGGGGCCCCTCACTTCTCTCCTCGTCTCCGGGGGACTTAGGGGCTGCTTCTGTGCCCACGAGGGACGCACCTGCCGGGCCCCGGGCGCCCTTTGTTCTTCCCGAGGCGGAGACCAGACGCGGTGCCGTTCCCAGCGGGCGCGCCGAGCTTCTGGAGACCCGAGAATGTGTTTTTATGTAAAAACTTTTTTTTTTTAAATTTAAAAACTGATCTTGGCTTCACGAAGACTGGACGGGGGACATGAAATCCACTTCCCATGCAACAAACGACAGTTTGGCTTATTTGCCTCCAAAACTGCGGCCCCCCCTCCCTCCCTTGGTAAAATCCTTCCCCCCCCCCCCCCTAAATACTGAGAACATTTCATCAAGTCCGGAATCTGAACAGCTTTATAAACGCTAAAGGCTGCGGGAGTTCTGTGGTTTTTAGTAGGTGCTCAAGTAGTAGTGGAACTCGGTTTTTATTTTTAAAACTTGGGTGTTTATGTAAATTACCTCCTTGCCTCTTAAATCTTGAGGCCTAGCAGGTAACTGGTGCAGTAAAAGTAGTTTACCGTAGCCAATTAAATATTTAGAGACAAGCCTCTACTCTTGTCCCCTTACATTTGGGTTAGTAGTATAAGTTGGCGTGAACCACAACTTCATGTGCAGAATCGTTAACAAAAGTTCTTCTGACAGAAAGGGGGAGGAGGGGGATTAAAAAATATAAAGCACTCTTAGGTTTAACCTGGAAGGCATCTTAAAATACTACGTCTGTATTAGCCCTTTTTGGAGAGACTATCCAGTAAGTACCAAATTGTTCCAACGAGGGTATCGCTGCTGTGTTAGTTCCTGAAGTGCAATTTTGTGATGAGGGTAGTAAAGTCTTCGTTGGAGTCTTTTTACTTGAAAGTTGAAAGAAGTGACTTGTTCTTTTTACCAAGACTTGAAAGTGGGAACTTAACTACGATTCTTACTAGAACATTCCAAAGGTAGATTTCTTTCTAGAAGTTTAGATGCTGAATGGGAATTTTGATAGCAATTTGATAATACGCACACTTCTTCCTTGACCCAGAGTGTTTTAGAGTCTAAAACATTAGCTGTTTAAAAGTGCTGGACTTGAAAAAGAAGAAAAATTAGCCTTCCTAATTTGTTAGTGTGGTATATGGTAGTTGGAATTTAAAATGCCCATCATTCCAATCCTCCAGCAAAATTTGGAAGGGTTATGAAGGCTAATCCCCCCCCAACCACTCCCCTCCCCCAGTGACTAGGGATTATGTAGAATTATTTTCCTTCAATTTTTTATTAAGAAATGAGGAAATAATAAAACTTGCTACAATATTGCCCTAACACGTGGCTTCATTTTTGCTTCCTGATCTAATTTTCGTCCTTTGCTGTGTATCTTTAGGAAATTTTTACTGTTAAAGGACTTTTTTAATACTAGTAGAGAGGAAGGGAGAGAAACTTGATCAGCTGCCTTCTGCGCGTCCCCTTTGGTGAATGGAACCAGCGACTTTTTGGTCCACCCATAGCCAGGGCCCTGGCAAGCCTTTCACGGACATCCCTGTCAGAATTGAATAGGACCTGGTTCATAAGTCCTTGGATGCTTTTGAATGCTCTTAAAGGAACTCTTCCCTACTTTAGCAAAACTGAAAGGAAAATTGTTCTGTATCTGGCAGCCTGACACTTTCATTTGGTGAAGGTGTTGAGATTTGTCTCCCAAAAAGCAGTTTGAGAAGAGTGCATGGTTTTCAACTCTACTTTCCCATCATCTCTACTGATGGGAAAGATTGTATTTTGATTTTTAAGTTCAGAAAAATAGGATTTTTACCAAGTATCACCCATGAAAAGATTAAAGAATTAACACCAGTGGGCTCCATCTTTATGTATAGTTAACTAGCACTGTGCCACCGTCCCTGCTACATGGACGTTCTTGGGTGTCTGGAATTTTTAATGGGTAGAGGGGAAATTACACAGAACCTCATTTCCGTAAAATAAGTTACCTGGTCTCTAGTCACTTTGCACCTATAGGTTCTCTGTTTGCCAAAAAGCCGCTTAAATAGCTGGCATCATGGTTAGGTTCCTACTCCCAGATTCAGTGTGTATCCATCTGGTGATGAATCTCTTCAATATTCCAGCAAACTGCCGGGACCGGTTTGGCTCAGTGGATTGGCTCAGTGGATGGAGTGTGGGCCTGGGGACTGAAAGGTCCCGGGTTCGATTCTGGTCAAGGGCATGTACCTTGGTTGCGGGTGCATCCCCAGTGGGGGGTGTGCAAGAGGCAGCTGATTGATGATTCTCATTGATGTTTCTAACTCTCTATCCCTCTCTCTTCCTCTCTGTGAAAAATCAATAAAATATATTTTAAAAAAATATTCCAGCAAACCCATCGAAAATAGAGTATGGATCCTGATTGCCTACCAAGACTTTAAAAAAAAAAATATTTTATTGGTTTTTTTACAGAGAGGCATCCACCAGCTGCCTCCTGCACACCCCTTACTGGGGATGTGCCCGTAACCAATGTACATGTCCTTGAATGGAATGGAACCTGGGACCTTTCAGTCTGTAGACGGACGCTCTACCGCTGAGCCAAACCGGTTTTGGCAAGACTTTTTTTTTTTTTTTAATAAATGATTCTTAAATTGCTAATAGTCTGAAGTAAGTTTAGCATGTAGGAAAAGTTTTACCAAGGACTAGATGGTAGCCATTCCCAGCCTGGTGGATGTGTATCCTCAGAGCCACGTTAAAGTTTATGCTGCCCTGGTAACTGGTGTGGAGATTATCTCTAGGAACAGTTGGCTCCCAGCTTGAGTGGAAAAATGCCCTAAAGTTTGTTCGTGTAGGAAGAGTTCTAAACTTTGACAACTACTACGGCAATTTAAAAATTATTAATTTTTGTGGACTTTCTTACCTTTAATGGCTTTACTTCGTTTTTCTTTTCTAAACTCTGTAAGTATAGGACTTAACCAAACTGCTCAAATGTTCTGGATTAGTAACTTGTACACAGTGTCTTAAGATGCCTATGATCTCACATTTTTGGGCTGTAGGAAGAAATGGCCAAGGGAGACTATTACAGTTTTCTAGGTCCTGAGGTCTAAATTCTCATTTGGTGTGAGACATGGTAAATAACCAACATTTGATGTAGAGCTTGCGTTTAAACCAGGGTTTTACAGCCTGAGCATTATTGACATTTTGGGCTTGATAACCTTCTGTCGTGGGGAATTGTCTGTGCATTATAGGGTGGTTAGCAGTATTCCAGGCTTCTGGGTGACAGTAGCATCCTTTTCTCCAGTAGTGATAGTAAAAAATATATGCAGCCATTATTAAAATGTTCCTTAGGTGGGAATCACTGGTTTAAAATTTCCTTTCAAAAATGATGTATATGAGTGGATGAAAGTTGTATTACAGGGGCCAATCTTCAGTGTGCCAATTTTTATATATTTTTTTCAGATCTATGATTGATAAATTATAAGAAAATACATGCTATATTGTTGACTTTGGGGGAATTAGCTTCCCCCACCCCAATATTGAGGAACCTTATCAAAAAATGGTAGAAGGTTTTCAGTGGATTCTGGGGACAATTTAGGATTGCAAAGAGGCAACTGTGTATTTATGTTGAAATTTAGTGCCTACTTTGTATAGTGGAAACCTGAAGCTCTGATGCTACAGCACTCAAAACATGTGGACTAGAATTGAAGTTAACTAACAAACATGCTACAGAGTAGAACTTAGTTTAAAATCTTAACATTTTGCTCTATTTTCAGGGCCTGGATGAGGAGATGAGGCAGAAATATTTCTATAGGTTAGTATCCTTGAGATAGCCATAGCCATTGATGGAAGTGAAGTTAGGTGGTAGTTAGGGAAACAACCTTTTACTGAACCCAATTTGAGGACAGCTCAGCATTGTAAATTCTGCCTTTTAAAAGCAGCAAAGGAAGATGGCTGCTGGAGGACATCTTGTCTTATGCGTGTGGCAAACTTTTTACAAGTATAAATGGGAAGTTTCTCTGCATGATTTAACTTTCTAAAAAGCCTCACCTCCCACATCTGTTTATTTTCTGATTGGCCACCGAGTTACTCTTACCAGATAGCCCTTCTAAAAGAGGGACATGAAATTCATCAACTGTTTCATAACCCAAAGGCAAAAGCTAAGAGGGAGGAGAGTAAGTGCAGTTGGAGGCACACAGGAAGGACTGCACTTCCTTAGTTCAGAAATGGGATCATTGGCTTGACTCTCCCTCCTTCCTTCCCTTTTACAAATTTGTTGTAACTTTTTCAGGCACTACTATGTGGTCTGGAGAAAAAAAGTGTAATTTTCTTAGCTGCTTGTGGTATGCATTTTCTGCTCGAAGAATATAGTTTACTTGTTTTTGAGGGGGAGGCCTCTAACTTCAATCTAGTCACTGTTAATGGTGAGTATAAATGCAGAAGCCAACTTCTTGGGCTTTCACTTTATATTTCTTGAAGAGCAGTACAAAACCTCTGGTGAGTGATAAGATGAGGTATTGGAATATTTACATCTAAATGACTTGGGAAATGTGTGGTACCTTTAACTCAAAGCAGAAGGAATCTTGTCAGGAAGCAGTCAGTCTTCCTGTGCTGCCATATGTGCCTCAAACTTATATAAGCTTAAGTTCAGATAGCTAGCTCTCTTGTGTTGCTGAATAATCTTTGGTGGTGGTGAAGGTAAATTTGTGTATTAAACCTATTTCCATTCATCTTGGTTTGATCATAAAGGTCAGGCAAATGAATGTTCTTAAATACTCTCATTGGCATGTGTAGTGTGTAACATGTCAGGTTGTAGCAGATGGCTGTGGACTTGATATACCAAGGAATTTTGGGGAGGGTGCCTTGATAGAATTGGGTAGTAGGGTTGAATGGAAAAAAATAATTTTTTTTATTTACTCAGCTGCTTCCTTCATAGCACCACTGTGTTGATTCCCAGTAGAATTTCTGTGCTAGGAGATCCTTAAATCATATAGTGTAACCCTTTTATTTTGTGAGCTCATTTGAAAATAATCAAGGTATCTAGTAATTAGATTTCTCAAAATGAATGTTACTTAAGCCAATAATTTAACTTAATCTTTCTGGTTCCATGTTGGGATTTGACTAGTTCATGGGCTTTGCAGCCTTGTGAAATGATGATTGAGTTTATCCATTCGCTGAGTACGCTGCACTGACCTTCTTCAAGCCTTGGTCCTGTTCTAGGAACTCAGGGTTCAGTAGCCTCCAAATGCCTTGCAGTCTGTGGTGTTCTACCATGGACAGCTTGTGTGTTGGTGGACTACCCGTAAGAATGGTTGGTGTCAGCAGGGATGGGTCCCTCGGGCCCATCTCACCAAGATGAGTGGTGGAAATCTGATCACTTGCTGTGGCCCTTTACCTATTTTTTTTTTTTTTTTTAAGCTTATGGGTAGCTTCCATAACTTTTATCTATAAGTATACTGAGATCCAGAAGACTTTGGTTCTAATGTTATGATTGATAGATAGACCCAAGTTATATCAAGGGAAGAACCAATTGTAGGTTGGGGAGAGGGGCAGGAAATGAGAAACAAATAGGTTTAAAAGCAGAGTTCATTGCCGATAGTTCAGTTGTTTTCATGCACCAGTGCCATAAGGAAAACCTAGGATAGATCAGAAACAGGTTTGGGAAGAAAATGGTAACAAAAAGTTAGAGTACCGGTACTTGGAACCATAAAGAGGGATTTGGAGAAGGATATGTATTATAGATCACTTCTTTCCTGTGAGTTGAAACAGTAATATATGTATCTGCTGTATGTATCTTCTCTCTTCTCCCTTGTAGGTTCTGAATTTCAGAATCTAGTTTTCCATGTTGTCCAATCACATGCCTTTTGTCATCTGTGAGCCATTAAATCTTTTGAAGAGGGAACTTTGTAGGTGGTGGTATGTCTTGCATCAAAATGAGTCATGAAAGTGAGATTTGGACCAAAAGTGGTCTTTAGCTCAAAAGTCTGGAGAGTTGTCCTGCCTCCAGTATCATGTTCCCCAGCTGGGTTGGCTGATGAATGGATAAGGAAGTGCATAGGGAGTCTGTATCAGTTTTTCCTTTTCAGGCTCTTACCAAGCATTTAGAGCTTTTAAAACAGTTAAAATTTTGCTTTCTAAATAAAACAGTGCTATTTATCTCAACATCCCTTTCTACTTCCCCCCTCTTTTTTTGTCACAAGATCATTGTAATCCTTACACTATAAGGATTAGTCTGGTAGGAAAGTACATTGGGGGTTGAAATTCCACCTAAAACTTTTGGTTATATCATGCCATGGTTTCTATAGAAATATACAAAAGAAAGTCACTTTTATAATTTATAGTCCATTGTTTGAGAATAGGTGTTTTAAATTTAACTCTCAAGTGACCTAAGGGAACTGGGAAATTGAAAAAGTAACCTGACTTGGTTCTAAAGCCTGCCTTTCTCCACTGATTTAAACAGCCATTCTTGGCATTTTGACCTCAGTAGCCCAAGTTGGTATTGGCCACCAGTGCAAAGCAATACTCTGGATGCTTACTTAGGGTAGGAGATAGAGCTGGGTGAATGGGGTACAACCCAGTACTTATCTCTACAGCCTGCTAATTTAAGTATTTAGCAAGTACTGTGGCGGAAGGCTATGGGTTTGGTTTTTGTTGACTAAGCAGGAGAAAGAATGCTGAACTTTTAATCATACTTGATGCTTCCAGAGTAAGGATTCTATGCTGACTTAGAAGTTTTAAGCATTTCACAACTTATTATTTTTTGTTGATTTATTTGCGTTATTTCCTGGAGGCTTATGTGCTATACTATAGGTTATGTGTGTCTTCATTGCACTCATACCAAAAACAAACCAAAAACCATATTTCTTATGGTAACAAGAAAGAAGATAGTAATATAGTAAATAATCTTGGCTATTAACTATATGGTTAGAGTAATGGGAAGAGGTGAAACCAGAAGATAATTGTTCAGTGGGATAAAAGCAGCTGGTGAAGTTCATTTTAACTTTGACTTAAATATGATGCTTAAATAAACTATTTTTCTATTACATTATATACTTGGGTCTTTCAATACCTAATTCCAAAGCTAGTCCATGTGGAGATCACAGGCTCATTAAGTTTGTTTGTCTTAATAGTGAGCTAAAATGGAATTGTCGGCATATTGAGAAATTGAGAGATGCCTAGAAACCATTATTTGAGTCTTTAGAAAATGGGATCTCAGAAGCATCATAGTTGTTGCTGAGCTCATGGAAATATACCTTAAACCTGCCCCATCTTTCGACCAATGTCTGTTGGCTCTTTTACACCTGCCGACTTTGTTCCTGTTCTGATTGACAGATAGAAACATAAGATAGGTGGGTGTTCAGTATTCTCTGCAGTCAAATTTTAGTGTATATTTAAGGTCTTTTGAATTCTGCATTTGCCCAGTGGTAAGTTTTATCGGAAGGAAGGAAGCTTTTATCAGAAATATGTCACGAGAGTCACAGGACAAAATGAAGTACCCCTGACCTTGAATCTTATCTTTGTTTGTAGAAATCTCATAAATGGACATAGGAAAATTAAGTCAAAATAAGCAAATATTTCATAGGAGTCATCAGGAATTAATTTGGGAGAAGTACTTAGGTTGAAATGTCAGGGACTTAATTGTGATCTCACTAATACAGAACTTGAAGCTTGTTTCTTATTAGAAAGCCATTGTTACAGGACTAACTCTGGTTTTTGCAATTTAAATTTTTTCTTAGTGCTTAAGGAAAAAAGGGAGGTAACTGACAGTGTCTAAGATATAGAAATAAAAATCATGCATTTTTTTAGTGGCTACGTTTAGTTTTTTAATGCCTGATTGTACCCGTTTTTCTCCTTTCAAAAGTTTATCAGTCTTAGGTCTTAAACTTTATTCTGAAGAATTCAAAATAAGATTTAGGGGGAAATATCTCAGTATTTATTCCCTCCCTTGTTCCTTCATTCTCTTAACTCCAGTCTTCATTTGGTATTCTCCCTGTGTGCAATAACTGAGTGTTAGGACAGTTTTACTTTATTTCAGGGGCGGGGGGGAAGAGTGGGAAAACATGAGATGCTTATTTCTAACAGTCCATTTCTTCCAAAAGTTCTTTTTAAACTGACAAACATGGAGTTGGGTGTTATTTTTCTATGCCTAACTCGCACAAAATCTGTTGCCTTGGCTTCCAGGGCAGTGCTCACACTTGTCCCTTACATGTATAGCTTCAAGGAGATCCTGCTAAGTAGAGTCTTTGTTAGTTTTTCAGTTCATTTCTTGGTGCCTAGATGAAACAATCCCTGTTAAATAGCTCTACTTTTGAGCCAGATTTTTCTTATCTTTTGACCTAGGATCTCATAGCACGTAACTGTTCTGTTTTCCTAGTCTCTTTCATGTGAATGCCACTTGAGTATTCCTTGTAGTTTAGGAATTTATGTGAAAAGTTCATGATTTCATCATGTCTAGTTCAAGCCTTCTTAATAACAGATCTTTAGGTGTTTGATTAAAGGGATTTTTCATACTGTTATAAAATAAGTAGTGCACATATTAAAATTATAGTTGCTTTTTCAGATCACAGGAATATTTTATACCCATCCATATATTTAAGAAAAGATTTCCCTACAGTGTCAAATAAACGTAGATTTATCTCAGTCAACTTTGTTCTAAATGATCTTGTACAAGCTGCTTTTTAATTACTAGCTCCCATTTTTGAAAGGATACTTTTTAGGACTAAAATGAATTTGAAACTAATAACCAAAAAATGTATTTCAGCTGAGATCTGTGTCTGTGGACTTGAATGTTGATCCCTCACTTCAGATTGACATACCTGATGCACTCAGTGAAAGAGATAAGGTCAAGTTTACAGTACACACCAAGGTAAGTGGTGGAATGACTTCAATAATACAAGCAGTGCTGGGTTGCAGCCTTGTTATTTACAGTGATAAGAACCTTCCTGAATTGAAGCGGTTGCTATTTGTTTGTAATGTAGCACCACTGCTAAGTGAACACCTTCCTCATCTTGTAGTGATCCTCTAAATAAGTGTTCCTGCTGCAATGTTTTCCACTATGGTGGAACCCTAGGGCATGGCTGATGTTAAATGTGGCTTTTACACTGCTCTCTGAGGAAAGAAAGTCAGGCAAAGTGAAGTAGGCCAAACCATCTACCCACATAGCTATAATCTTCCACCTTTGTTTTTTAATTTGATTTTTTTTTTTAATTGATTTTAGAGAGGAAGGGAGAGGGAGAGATAGATAGAAACATCAGTGATGAGTGAGAATCATTGATCAGGTGCCTCCTGCACACCTACCGGGGATCGAGTCTGCAATCCGGGCATGTGCCCTTGATCAGAATCGAACTTGGGACACTTCAAGCCCACAGGCCAACGCACTATCCACTGAGCCAAACCAACTAAGGCCACCTTTGTTTTTAATTTGCATGTGTGCAAAGTGCTTTCCCATGTTTACCAAGTTCTTGGCCTTTGCCCCTCTCATCTCTTGTGATTCAAAAGTTTTTTGCCGCCAAATTTTTATAAATTTTAATTTTTTAAATTGATTTTATAGAAAGGGAAGGGAGAGAGAAAGAGAAACATCAATTTGTTCCACTTATTTATGCATTCATTGGTTGTTTCTACCAACTGACTACCAGGACAGGCCTGGCTAAAAAATTTTTTTTAAATCCTCACCCGAGGATATGTGTTATTTATTTTAGAGAGATAGGAGCAGAGAAGGAGAAATATCAATTGGTGGCCTGCCATACATGCACTAACTGGGGATTGAACCCAAAACCTAATGTATGTACCCTGACCAGGAATCAAAACCACTGCCTTTTTGATGTAAGGGAAAAGATTCCAACTGAGTCATCTGGCCAGGTTTATTTCTAAATTTTTAATTTAACAAAAGTGGTATCAGTTTTTTCAGGAACATTCAGCCTCCTTTTTTCCTTTCATAGAAGTTAAAATGTATTGAATGCTTGTCCTATCGCAGGCACTGTTGTAAAGGGTTTACATGGATTTGGATTTGTCTTTTTATAACAACCTTATGGTGGTGTTTTATTATCCCCACTTTACAGGGGAAGAAACAGGAACTGATTTAAAGCAAATAAATATAAGGTCCTTTCCCACTTTTTTCCCCCCTTCTTAATCCCTTGGTGGCTTGATTGGCATACCTCAGTTATTCAAAAGGCAGTGCGAAGACTACATAATTATATCTAAGTTGACCTACAAGGTGGAAATTTGTGAAAAGAATTCCTTAAAGAACATGTTTAATCTTGGCTATGGCTTTTTATAGTGGTGGAGAGATTGTTGCTGTATTTTGTTCTTTAGTGTATCTCATTGTGATGTTTTATTCAGGATTTTCCTAGTGCAGCTCAGGAAACTCAAGCCACTTTATCTGAAATAAATGGTAGTTAAAGTTAACTTCTCTTTTTCATTTACAGACCACACTGCCCACGTTTCAGAGCCCAGAGTTTTCTGTTATAAGGCAACATGAAGACTTCGTATGGCTCCATGACACTCTTTCTGAAACTGCAGACTATGCTGGGCTTATCGTAAGTGCCTTTTGTAAAATGAAGTAATTATTGAAGCATATTTCTTTTACTTTGCTGTTCATCCTGTTTAAAGAGACTTACCCATTTTTCATAATGGATTGTGAAAAGTCTGATTTCACCTGCCAACTAGAATATGTGCTAATCATTACTATCATTTGATGGTCCTCTGGAATTCTTTTTGAAGTCTAGACTATTATTTTGATGTTTCCTCATAAGCTCTAGTTTAGTACTGATTGTAATATATAAATTTTAAACAAACACTATTGTACCCTATCAATTATTTATAATGGATAAACTGAATAAGTGAGTTCCCAGTTTTGAGAGGACACTTTTAAATGGCCTAAACGAGTAAGGTTAAGTAAGAGAAAGACGGGTTGGCCACAGGGCTGCTGGCCTGTGCACAGGCCCTAACTAGAATGTCACTGCTTGGACAAGAATGCTCATGTGTTACCTGCCTCTGCTGCAGATTCCACCTGCTCCTACAAAGCCTGACTTTGATGGCCCTCGAGAGAAGATGCAGAAACTGGGGGAGGGTGAAGGGTCTATGACCAAAGAAGAATTTGCCAAGATGAAGCAAGAATTGGAAGCGTAAGTGGATCTTGATGGGATGAGTATAGTAGTTAGTTACTAGTGCTGTCCTCTAAAATTGTATTTTGCAGAGTATGGGGCAGAGTCTTGAGCTTTAGACTGACTTCTTTGGGCTACTAGCACTGGATAGAGTAGTTTTCCCCTATGTAGACCATACTTGTTAAGCAATGTTGATCTGGCATGGTGAAGTAAACTTTTGTATCCTATCTAATAAAAGTAATATGCAAATTGAACATCACTCCAACACACAAGATGACTGCCTCCATGTGGATATGAGATAGCCAGCAGGGGAGGGCGAGGGCAGTTGGGGGTGATCAACCCTTCAGGGGATGGCAGTTAGGGGTGATCAGGCCCGCAGAGAAGGGAAGTTGACAACAGGACCTGCAAGGAAAGGGCAATTTGCGGGGGAGGGTGGGGGGGTGGTGCAGGCTGAGCTGAGGGACACACACACACAGATTTTGTGCACTGGGCCTCTAGTTTTCATATATAATTTTTTTTAAGCTGCTGATAGTATGCAGTGCTTCTCTGAAGTTTGATGACTAGAAACAGTTGGAATCAGATGCAGTGAGTGCTGTTACAAAGAAGCATTCTGAATGATCACATTGCAGGTTTGGAAGAAGTCCACAGGAAGTTTATTTTACTTTGATTATAATTTAAACAAAAAAAAAATTTTTATTCTGTATCATAGTTGGAGGTTTGCATTAAAGTTTCTTGTGAAACCATCCTTGCACTTTATCTTGACTTCCTTCCTTCTTCTACCATCAGGGTATTGGGATTCAGGTGCTCATTGCAACACTTCCCATTAATGCTCTGCCCCAAGTCCATATTGTCTAGGGCCAGTGCTCCTAACTTCCAGGTCCTGAATTATTCATGCAATTCAGTGACTATCATGACCATTGATGAGGGTAAAGCACTGACCAAAGACTCAAGTTCCTACCATTGGAAAGTTTAGAGTGATCTTTAATCTATCTAGATTTAGATCTGCTTGGTAATTTTTAGTGTATGTGATTTTGAGAGTACGTTTATTAAAGCTGCTGGGGGACAGTGCTCTAGCAAGTGTGGTTCAATTGGTAGGAGCATTTTGTTCTGTACACTAAAAGGTCATGGGTTCAATTTCCAGTCAGAACATATACCTGTCCTCCCCCTCAAAAAAAACAATACCCTGTGAAGATTTTTTTTTTTTTAAAGCTGTGGGCAGTGAAACAAAGAAAGACTTAGAAGAAACAACAGGAGAGCCAGAGCCTAGGTGGGGCTGCTATGGCTCTAGAAATGTTATGGGAAAGAAAGAAACCTAGACAGGGCTTCTTTGACTCACTGAGAAATAAAAGTCAGTGCCAGAAGTGAGCCAAAGTGGGGCTGCTATTGGCTCACTCAAAAGTCAGAGAAAGGGGGCTTAGGAGACAGGTTCAAGGGGTCAGCCTTGGACAAGCTGCAACTGTTAGTTGCTCCTTTGGGTGCAAGTCTCATGGAAACCTTTATTTTAGTTTAAAGGCTGGGAGTTAGGGGAGGATCTTAATACCCTGTTTCCCAGTGTCTTATATAATTTTTTCTCCCAAAGTTGCGCTAGGTCTTATTTTCAGGGGATGTTTTATTTTTCCATGTGCTAGGTCTTATTATCGGAGGATGTCTTATTTTCGGGGAAACACGTAGTATATATCAACTGTATTATGCTAATGCACCAAAATGAGATTTGTTCCTTTAACTCCATCTGTCCCTAGGTGACGTAAAATTTCTTGTGATTCTGAGCCTTTTTAGTCTCCGTGCTGTATATGGCTACTAAATTAAAGGTTTTTTGTGATTTAAAAGAAATCAATGCTCTGTTGGCTGCTGAATACCAGCAGTGTTTGCATGTAGGTTTCAGTCTTTGTAGGCTTGTTTCATCAACCCAGTTATAATTTCACTTTCCCTCTTTTTCCCCCCACTTTCCCTCTTTTGTTTGTTCATCCTATAGATTTCAAAATGGCAGCTATTTTTTTATTACTGAATTAGATATAAAGTTATACCAAAATGCTTAGGTCTTATTCAGATATATATATATATATATATATTTACATTTTATTGATATTTTACAGAGAGGAAGAGAGAGGGATAGAGAATTAGAAACATTGATGAGAGAGAATCATCGATTAGCTGCCTCTTGCACTCCCCCTACTGGGGATGTGCCCGCAACCAAGGTACATGCCCTTGACCGGAATCGAACCCGGGACCTTTCTGTTCGCAGGCCAACGCTCTATCCACTGAGCCAAACCAGTCTCGGCTTATTCAGATATTTTATTTAGTGGCATGAGCAGTAATAATTGGGTTGGGTAGTAGTTGTCAGTTGAGTGATGACAACTAAATGTCTTGTATGCTTCTCTTTTAGTGAATATCTTGCTGTCTTTAAGAAGACTGTATCCTCCCATGAAGTCTTTCTTCAGCGGCTTTCTTCTCACCCTGTTCTCAATAAAGATCGCAACTTTCATGTTTTCCTGGAATACGATCAGGATGTAAGACTCCCCCTCCCTCCTACCCCCTAGATTCCATTTTCATGATCCAGAAAAATTACAAGACTATTCTTTAAAGATATATCTGATGCCCAGCTGCTGTGGCTCTATGGTTGAGTGTCTGTCCATGAACTAAGAGGTCACCAGTTGGATTCCCAGTTAGGGCACATGACAGGATTGCAAGCTCTATCTCCAGTAGGGGATGTGCAGGAGGCACCTGATTGATGTTTCTCATTGATGTTTCTATCCTCCCCCCTCTCTAAAATCAATAAAGACACATTTAAAACAAACTAGACTTGTTAAAAATAAAAATACTTGATACATATTCTCCAAAATTGACTTTTAAAGTTCTGAATTTCTTACCAACACAGTGGAAACCTTTAGTATATGCCACTTCCTCTCCCTGGCAGATCAATTATGTAAGACATTTTTATAAGAGGCTACTTAAAGATTTTGACCTTTCCCCTTCTGAAAAATAGTTTTTTTTCCTCTCCTTTTAAAAAAATATATTTTATTGATTTTTTTACAGAGAGGGAGAGAGAGGGTAGAGAGTTAGAAACATCGATGAGAGAGAAACATTGGTGAGCTGCCTCTTGCACACCCACTACTGGGGATGTGCCTGCAACCAAGGTACATGCCCTTGACTGGAATTGAACCTGGGACCTTTCAGTCCGCAGGCCGATGCTCTATCCACTGAGCCAAATCTGTTTAGGCCTGAAGAATAGTTTTCTCAGTTATGTTTGGGATTGTTAGAAGAAAACTAAATGGATCCAAATTTATTATTTTCTTGGCTACCATTTTGTTGACAACAGACTTGTATACTTTTTTTTTTTTTTTTAATGTTTCTGTTAATATGTATGAAGCAAATCCCATCTTAAAAATTTCCTCTCTGTCTTCTAACCAGTGAAGTTTAATAAACATAGAACAGAATAAGTTTTACCAAAAATTTAAGCCACTGGGAATTGGTTTCCTGGCCAGTGGGTGCCTAGCTAATGTGGCTCGGTTGGACTGTCATTCTGTACACTAACACAGCAGTCACCAACCGGTGGTCCTCGAGGTCTGAAAGGTTGGTGACCGCTGCACTAAAGGATTATAGTTCAACTCCCCGTCAGGACACATACTCAGTTGAGGGTTCTATCCCAGGTCATTGTGCATGTGGGAGGCCACCAATGGATGTTTCTGTCTCCCTCTCAAAATCAATAAAAAAGGTAAGGGGAAAAAATCCATCTTGTTGCCCAGATATTTCAAAATATCTATTACATCATACTTCAAGAATTGTGACCTGGATTTATATTTAGCTATATATTCGATATCTTAGATCTGGTGGTTAAGATAGAATTTGTCTACTATGTCTTGATCTTATGTGTGTGCCAATACTGGTAAACAGTGTTATTTGGAAAGTATTTAGGACTTACCCAGAAAAAATGTATTTACCATAAACTTTTGGTATTCTCTTTCTTCAGTTAAGTGTTAGGCGGAAAAACACCAAAGAGATGTTTGGTGGCTTTTTTAAAAGTGTGGTGAAAAGTGCTGATGAAGTCCTTTTTTCTGGAGTTAAGGTAAGTGGCTTTTAGCTGTTCCTGACTGCATGGAAGTTGACCTTTTATTTCTTTAGAAAAGATATTTGTGAAATGAGTTTTTCCAAAATGTCCTGTTCTCTCCCTGTTCTCACACTTAAGTCTTTATTTTCTCCTTTTTTTGTAAGGAGAGAAGTGAAATTATTCTTTTAAAAAATTACCACAAGAGCAGTCATTCATGACGGTCTCTAGAACTACACAGCCCATTTTGGTAGCCCCAGATACTTGACATTTTTAATTTTATTTACATGCTGGATTCTAAGGACTTGATATGAAGAAAATAATGTATATGTCACTGATACTTTTTTTGTAAATAATACTGAATTAAGTAAAATATTTAAAGTTAATTTCACTTGTGGCTAGAAAAATTTTAATGGCACATATGGCTCACATATACTCCTTTATTCCTCATCACCCCCACCCCCCAACTGTGTTACCTTAATAGCTACTATTTGGTATCTAACTTGAGAAACTTGGTATCACTTGAGGGCTTGAGTAAGTAGCCTATAATATATAATAGGTGCTGAGTTCCAGGGGCCTTATTAGAAATTTGGAAGCTCTTTGGTGATCTCATTGGCACAGTTTAAGGTGTGTGGGATTTAAACTGTATTGCAGGGAGTTTAGTGTCCCTAGCTGGTGCCCACCGGATTCCATTATTTTCCTCTCAGTCTGAAAGCGACCAAATTCAGCCCTCTACGCACACATAGAGTATCTGAAGGCTAGGTAGTAATCCACTAAGCAGAACTATAGCTTTCCCAGAATTGCTAGATCTTAGGATACCAGAGTGTTCCTGGGCTTTGTTAAAATGGTTCTTCAAAATGGTTCTCTGTTGACATTTCCTGCCAACACTTGACTTTTGCTGCTCTTAAGTGTGAAATGGTATTTTGTCAATTTATATTTCCCTGTTCTATAGAGGTTAAGCTTATGCATGAGCCTATTTCCTCAATGTTCTAATTGAAAACACATATTTCTATTTAAAGTTTTACTTCTTAAATTTTCCACCCCTCTCCTTCTAGGAGGTAGATGACTTCTTTGAGCAAGAGAAGAATTTCCTCATTAACTATTATAATAGGATCAAGGATTCATGTGCAAAAGCTGACAAAATGACCAGATCTCATAAAAGTAAATATCATTCACCTACTAGCCACCTACCTTTGCTAATGTGCCAGCTCTGTTCACATAAACAAGGCTGTCCTTGTTTCTGCAGATGTTGCAGATGATTATATCCACACTGCAGCCTGCCTGCATAGCCTGGCTTTAGAGGAACCCACAGTCATCAAAAAGTAAGTTTTTGTTGGAAACGCTTTTCTTTAAATTCTCTAATCCAAGACTAGTAGGTGGTATGATTGGAAGTATAATGAGTATTGACTACATAATATCAATTCTGCTCTTGAGTACAAGTTTATCAAAGGTAGATAAAATTGTTTCTAGCAACTAAAATCTCACCCTCTGAACACACAGACACTTTGTAGTGGACTGAGAGGGCACTTCTGTAGCAAATGTGATTATTGAGTCTATATTAGATAGCTCTACTACTTTTTTTTTTAAAGTTTGCCTTGTATGTTCTATTCCACATAGTTCTTGCCACTTTACTTGGCAATATCTTGGACTAATTTGAAGAGATTTGATGGAAGTGGTCAGAAGGATAATGTAATGATTCCAGTCTGATCTTGAACTTTTTTTTTTTTTTTTTAATATTTTTAAGTGGTCATAAAAATAATATAATGACCCCAGTCTGATCTTGAGCTTTTTTTATTTTATTATTATTTTTTTAATTTATATTTTTCAGTTTCTCTATCCCAGTCATTTTTGGTGTGATAAGAGTATTATTCTGTTTAACACCTGGGCTTGGTATAACAGGCAGGAGTATTTTTGATTTGAAAGTGGAAGTCAGCTAATGGCAGAACCAAGATGAAATAGTTAATACTTAATGGCTTTGGGGCCACACTTGGTGGTTCGTTAGAACCTGACCTTGGTTAACACAGATTTGGCATTGGATAACAATTGGGAATATACCCTGGCCAGTGTGACTCCGATGGTTGGAGTGTACACTAAAGGTGGAGGCTTGATTCCTGATCACATAGCTAGATTCTGGATTTGATTTCTGGTTGGGGCTCCTGCGAAACAGCCTATTTGATGTTTCAAATCGCACAATATCAATAAAAAATAATATCAATAAATAAAAAATATTGTGCAAATGCACAATATCAATAAAACATTAATTAAAATTGGAGCACAAGTTCTTCATGGCATATGGCTGAAGGGGGGTAGTGTACTAACAGGTTGAAACTCATGACTTATAAATGTGTTAAATTTTATTGTCATCTTCTCTATTAGATTGGGCCAAATCTAGTGATTAAAGCAATACTTTGATATGTTAATTCTAAAACACCAAAGGCTAAAACTCCTGAATTTACCTATTCCTGTATATATTTTAGGTACCTGTTGAAGGTTGCTGAGCTGTTTGAAAAACTTAGGGTAAAGATTTTTATTTTGGTTTTCATTATATATTTTAAAATCTGTTGATACCTACTTTGATGATGATCTTTTATTTTTATTTTTTTATTCTAAAAGAAAGTAGAGAGTCGAGTCTCCTCAGATGAAGATTTAAAGCTGACAGAGCTCCTTCGATACTATATGCTCAACATAGAGGCTGCTAAGGTAAGTTCTTTACGTCTGCCTTGCCATAACCTCTAAGGTGTGTGATAGTAGAGATGTATTCTTTTTGTTAAAAATGAAGATAGGAATTTGTGAGGATTGTTTATGTAAGTGATTAGAACCTAAATAGAGATGTAAATTGAGGCAAGTTTGAGTTATCAGAAATTGTTTATTGAGGAATGGCAGTTTGGAAAAAGCATGCAATAGTAGCAAGCTACATGTGAGTCTGATCGGGATTTGGAACGGATTTATGGGCAGGGAGGGTAACAAAGAGAAGTCCATCCAGAGTTCAAACAGTAAGCTCATGGGTAGATGTTCATTGGTCAGGATATTCTTCTGTAAACCAGGAATTTACAGGAAATTAGCCTGTTCTTAAGACTGTTCTTTACAGGCACATGCATGAGGTTCTTCATTTCATATCTTTCAGTCTCATTTTAAATTGAAATTTTTTCACAGTGGTGTACCTTTTTGTGGCATTGTATCTCCTTACCTTGTATTACTTGAGTACAATTGGGATTGTACTGAGAAGACAGATAAATAGTTTGGGGGTTATGAGTTATTAGATGCAGGACATAACTGAAGACTTTCCAAAGGGGCTATTTCTGACGCAATAGATGTTTTGGGATTTGTGAGTTTTATTGACTTAAAGTTGTCATAAAGCATTACTTATTAAAAGTAAGATTAATTGGTAGCAGAATGACATTTTAGAATGAAACATTTTAGAATGAAAAAAATGGGGCCCCCCCATTTTTTTGAGCAGTTAGATGTTCTATGTTAATCTTACATCTTTTCGTCTCCAAGCCTGGAAACTGCCATTTCTTTCAGAAGTCCACTGTCTACACAGCCCTGAACAAAAATGGTTAAGCCATTTTTATGTGAAATATTGAATCGGCAACATAAGATAGGAAAAATATATAACTGGAAAATGCTGTCAGGATGTAGACATTCATTATTTTCCCCTTAGTTTAGTTTTATTTTAATTTGTATTTTGTCATGCTTATTTAGTTTTAACAGTATTTGAATTTTTTGTTTTTATACATTCTTGACTCTTTGTGGGTTTAAGTGCTGATGATAAACAAGTTTTTTTCTTTTGCATATACACAAAGGTGAACACAATTGAACCTCAGAGTACTGTTATACATGCATGTCTTTCCATTTTATAATTATTTGAATATATTTTTATTGATTTTAGAGAGGGAAGGAGAGGGAGAGAGATAGAAAGATCAATTTGAGAGAATCATTGATTGGCTGCCTTCTGCATGCCCCTCACTGGGAATTGAGCCCACAACCCAGGCATGTACCCTTAACTAGAATTGAACCTGGGACCCTTCAGTCTGCAGGCTGATTCTCTGTCCACTGCCTTACAGATAGGGCATAACTTTCTATTTTAGATACTAAGATAAGTTTTACTTTGCAACATTGCAAAGAATATTTCAGTTTAGATCCTCAGGGTAGACTTCCAGAAGCAGGGTTCTTTGGATAGGGTTATAAGAATGTTTTAACTACCTCATTGCCCACTTGCATTCTGTTCGTATCATTTGACTCACCTTGTAGTAACTGCACGTTTCAATACACAATGGTTAATTTTCTGAAGTTACTTTCCTAGAAAAATGAATCCTTCAATTTTGACTTCCCCCCCCGCTTTCTTTGGACCCATGTGAATAGTTCTGAAAAAAGTTCTCAGTAATGCCATAAGAGTTCTTCCCAGACTAATTTTGGGATTAAAATAATAATGGGGAGGGAGGGTGGTCATAGAGGTAGACTAGATTTTTGCTGTCTAACATTTCAGGTAGTGTATTGGCACTAGAGTACTTGGGATATTTTACCATGTTTTTATCTGTTAACTTTCTTCTCAGGATCTATTATACAGGCGCACCAAAGCCCTCATTGACTATGAGAACTCAAACAAAGCGTTGGATAAGGCCCGGTTAAAAAGCAAAGATATCAAGTTGGCTGAGACACACCAGCAGGAATGCTGCCAGAAATTTGAACAGCTTTCTGAATCTGCAAAAGAAGGTAGAGCAGGGCCACTCTTTAGCTTTTACGTTTTATTTGTAAATTGTTTCACCTCGCTGAGAGAAGTTGCACAAATACTGCAAAGAACGCCATACATACATCCTTTAGTTGCAGACACCTACCTGTCCACAGTTTGTTCTTTCTGCTTTGTTAACTTGGTATACTTGGGTCCCTTGTGGGTGTTTTTATAACCGCATTGGTGCCTTTGTCTTTTTTTTTTTTTTTTTTTTAACTATTTGAGTTTGAGGCTATATGTAGTATGGTCGATTTTTTTTCCTTAAAAAAAAAAAAAGTTTGCCGGGACCGGTTTGGCTTAATGGATAGTAAGCCAAACCGGTCCCGGCAAACTTGGAGACTGAAAGGTCCCGGGTTCGATTCCGGTCAAGGGCATGTACCTTGGTTGTGGGCATATCCCCAGTAGGGGGTGTGCAAGAGGCAGCTGATCGATGACTCTCTCTCATCGGTGTTTCTAACTCTCTATCTCTCTCCCTTCCTCTCTGTACAAAATCAATAAAATATATTTTAAAAAAAATTTGTGCATTTTTTTAAAAAGATCCTTGCCCCCCCCCTTTTTTTTTTTTTTAAATATATTTTATTGATTTTTTACAGGGAGGAAGAGAGAGGGATACAGAGTTAGAAACATCGATCAGAGAGAATATTCGATCAGCTGCCTCTTGCACACCCCCTACTGGGGATGTGCCCACAACCAATGTACATGCCCTTGACCTGAATTGAATCCGGGACCTTTCAGTCTCTATCCACTGAGCCAAACCGTTTTCGGCAGGTCCTTGCCTTTTTGAAGACCATCGTCTCTTATTAAAAATAGAATGCTTATTTTTGGTTGGTCTATTTCCTCATTAGATTCCAATTATCCATTTCCAACAGAAAACTATTGTATAAATGAAGTGCTTCTTAGAGTACTTTTTGGTATCTGAGGGTATGTTGTGTCCATTTCAAAATTTTGTGGTATTAATTTTGATTACCCAGAAATGTGTTGTTATATATTTCCACTGTGGTGGTGTATTTTTTCCCCCCATGCCACTAATTACAAATTCATGGGGAGATAATTTAACCGTGTATATATCCTATTCATCAAACTTCTCTTAAATGTAACTTCTGTTGATTTTTGCCTGAACCAACCTTTACCCTCGTGGTTGCAGAAAGGTGATTTTCTCCTTACTCCGATTCTAGCATTCCCTTTCCAAATTAGCACTTGACATCAATTTTTTAAGCACAAGCATGCTCTTTCCTCTTATTTCTTCATTAGAGTCATGGACTCCTATATTCTAAGATAATTTTGAATTTTATTATACTAGTTATTTTGGTACTCATTGTTCAGTCAGCTAGTGAGGAAATGCTTTAAGCTGACCTGTTCTTATGACATATCCCCTATTCTTTTTTTCTTTTTTAAAAAATGTTAATGATTTCACGGAGGAAGGAAGAGGGAGAGAGAGAAACACCAATGATGAGAGACAATCATTGATTGGCTGCCTTCTGCCTGTCCTCTATTAGGGATCGAACCTGCAACTCAAGCTTGTGCCCTGACTAGGTATCTGTCACTTCCTGGTTCATAAGTTGACACTCTTATCACTGAGCCATGCTGACTGGGCCCCTCCATTTTTTTGAGCAGTTAGATGTTCTATGTTAATCTTACATCTTTTCGTCTCCAAGCCTGGAAACTGCCATTTCTTTCAGAAGCCCAAGCTCTTGTTACTTAAGGAATTGATTCTGGAAATCTCTCCTCCTGGGCCCTTGTGCTGACAGTGAAGAAATAATAGGGATGTGTACACATATGTGCGCATGCATTTGGCTTCTCTCTCAAAATTCATGAATCTATGATTATGTAGTTCCAGTCCATGTCCACAGGGTTTTCTTGCCTTCTCCCATTTTTGCTTTGGAGGGAGATGGTGCAACATGTAGTCTTTTCCTTGAGGGATCTCACTGCCCTTAGGGGTCATGGAACATGCCAAACCAAAAAGTAAAGAATGTGTCTTTTAGAACAATCTTAATTATAGTGAGTCTACTTGACACAACCTCAAAACACCTTCCTACCCCCCTCAAAAAACTCAAGACTTCGTTTACAGAAAACTTTTTTTTCCTTCCCTTTGGTTTAAAAAATCTAGGCATATTTGGAAACGTCCTGATAATAGCTATCTGTAAACAGTACAGTTCTCCTTTGTCTTTGCTCATACAAATTCAGGACTGTAATGTTTTAACTATAAGGAGCAGAGCTTCTGTACAAAAACTCTGCAGATGGCATGCAGGACTCATGCAGGTGACTGTCTTTTAGATTCTTTCAAAGGAACCTCCTTTAAAAAAGTTTCACTGATTTGAGAATAATCCTCAAAACTTCTTGCTCCCTCCCCACACCCCACCCTTTAAAAAATATTTTTTTAATTGTTTTTAGAGCGGAAGGTAGAGGGAAAAAGAGATAGAAACATCCATGATGAGAGAGAGTCATGAATTGGCTGTCTCCTGCTAGTGCTCCACTGGGGATCGAGTCTACAACATGGGCATGTGCCCTTGACCGGAATTGAACCTTGGGCCCTTCAGTTCGCAGACTGACACTATCTGCTGAGCCAAACCAGCTAGGGCTCTTCTTGCCCTTTTTAGTAGCTAATTTAAATTTATAAGGAACATGCATTAAAATGACTGAGTTGAAATCTTAGATTATTATATAGGCCAAAGTTCAGTGGCTCTGAAGAGTTTTTAGGGAAGGAGATTAAAGAAAAAGTTTTTAAGTGGTGCCAATTTAGGCCTGGCTTATTGATTAAGGTTCCCGTATTATAGGTTTTATCCTCTTTATTCAAATTACTAGAGGCCGGTGCATGAAATTTGTGCACTGGGGGTGGGTGGTGGGTGTCCCCCTCAGCCCAGCCTGTATCCTCTCCACTCCGAGACCCCTTGGGGGAGTAATCTGGCCTAAACTGGCAGTCGGATGTACCTCTCACAGTCTGGGACCACTGGCTCTTAACTGCTCACCTAGTCACCCCCAACTGCGCCCCCTATTGTGCCGACCCCCCTTGCTGGTCTGGTTGCCCCCAATTGTCCCCCCCCCCCTCCCCCGGCCGAGTCGCTCCCAACCACCCCCCTGCTGATCTGGTCGCCCCACACAAACCCGTTCAGTTGTCCGTTTGGTTGCAATGGTTGTTTAGGCTTTTATGTATACAAATAGATACAGATATATAGATATAAATATATATATAGATATGCCTGGATGTCTACTTAAAAGTACAAAAAAAGTATTCCAGACCATTTAGAGATTTAACGAGTCTTAACTTAGGTCCCAGTTCTTTGTAAGATTTGTGGTTGAATAGATTTGAGTCAGTTGAATGAGCATAGTGAAACAGTGGTGTGGGGGAGACAGAAGGGTTAGTGTGTAAAGTCTTGGTCCCTAAAGTCTTGGTCTCGTGTGGAGGCCTTATATGAAGGAGGGAGCTTATCTTGACATTGGGGAAGACCCATTTAGCCTAGTAAATTCCAAGTTGTGGCTATTGACACATCAATATAAAAATTTTATGAGCTGTCGAAACTGGTTTGGCTCAGTGGATAGAGCGTCATCCTGTGGATCGAAAGGTCCTAGGTTTGATTCTAGTCAAGGGCATGTACCTGAGTTGCAGGCACATCCCCAATAGGGGGTGTGCATAAGGCAGCTGATCGATGTTTCTCATTGATGTTTCTAGTTCTCTATCCCTCTCCCTCTCTGTTAAAAAAAAAATCTTTAAAAATTTTATGAGTTTTTAGTTTTTAATGTGGCTGCTTGCATTATATTTCTTTTTTTTGTTTGTTTTTTTTGTTTTTGCTTGCATTATATTTCTGTTGGACAGTGCTGTATAGACATGGTATGGGAGGATAAGTTTGCTCTTAAGTACCCTATAGTACCAACTTGAGCTAGGAAGTGTTTTCAGAATTAAAAAAAAAGTCCTTAAAAAAGCTATTGGTTCAAATATGTGTGGCTTATCAGCTCCCAACCCTAAAAATTTAGTTAAGGACAAAGCTGCTCATCTCAGATATTCTCCAAGTCAGTAGCCCTTCTCCAGATTTCTATTCTCAGTGATTAAATGGTGTTGCTTATTTAAAGGTAATGATAACAATATTACAGTGTCCAAATAATGAGATGCATACTAATTGCAGAGATAATGGAAATGTGAAGAAATATGGCAGTGCTTCAAAGCTTTGGTGGTCGTTTATTTGTAAGAATATTTGGAAGTTAAAGATGGAAATTGTTAACTTTTTGAAACTTTCTCTTTTGTAGAACTAAGCAATTTCAAGCGAAAGAGAGTGGCAGCATTTAGGAAAAATTTAATTGAAATGTCTGAACTGGAAATAAAGCATGCTAGGGTAAGTATTCAGATTAAGCCAACAACTTTTTAGGGTTTTTTTTAAAGTTATTTTTCAGTTATTCCAATATTAAGCGGGTGGGATTTGTGGTTTTAATTTAATTCCTTGTAGTGTAGGTGGAAGCCAATTGTTAAAGTATGTTTATTCTACTGTAAAACAAATTCATAACGTTTTGGTGAAATACTGCATTTAATATTGAAAAGAGCATTCTTGATGTGGCTGCTGCCCTGCCTCCTCGAAGTTCTATGGACCACACTTTGAAGAATCTGTTCTAATAATTTTTAGTGAACACATCTATCATACCATTTTACAGCTCTTCATTATCTGGAGTTTTCATGGAAAATAATTTTTAAAATAGTCATCTAGTTTTGCTAAATGTCTTCTGATACTCCTTTTTGGTTTAGAAAGGAAGAAAAATATATATTGATGTCTAGCTTAATTTGCACAGAGAAGTTGGAGAACAAGTGTTTTCAATGGTGGGTGCACATTAGACTTTATTAGAGAATTTTTAAGACTTTTTGCTGCACAGGACCGTTCACTCAGAACTTCTGAGTATGGTTTTCTTGGGTGGTTCCTGGGTACAGCTGAGATTGGCCCCCCAAAAGTGCTGTCTGGACCAGGGCATCTGGGTCACCCCTTGGGTCAGTATAGAACTGTCACTGGCCATCAGCATTGGTTAAAGCAAGAAGACTTAGAGCATTTGTGTGTTTTAAGTGCCTTTATTGTCACTACAATATAGATGTTTTTATTCATTTGTCTATAAAGTCCAGTCCTTTTATTATTTTTTAAATATTTTGTTGATTTTGTACAGAGAGGAAGGGAGAGAGATAGAAAGTTAGAAACATCGATGAGAGAGTCATCAATAGCTGCCTCTTGCACACCCCCTACTGGGGATATGCCCGCAACCAAGGTACATGCCCTTAACCAGAATCGAACCCGGGACCCTTCAGTCCCCAAGCCGACGCTCTATCCATTGAGCCAAACCGGTTTAGTTAAGTCCAGTCCTTTTAAATTGGAGTTTTAAAGTATCATACATACATAAATTATACCATAATGTTCTAGATATTTTAAATTTTCTGGATTCTTTAAAGTGAGAACTAAGACAATTTGTGCAAAGTCCTATATAAATATTTATCATTTGTTACATCATTTAAAATTCCACCCATAACTAATTTTTAGCAATTAAAAATATTTTTTTATTTAAAAATACTTTTATTGATTTCAGAGTGCAAGGGAGAGAGATAGAAGCATCAGTGATCATTGATCAGCTGTCCCCTCATGCCCCCTCCTTTCCCCGTGGGGATTGAGCCTGCAACCCAGGCATGTGCTCTTGGCCAGAATCAAACCTGGGACCCTTTAGTCCACAGGCCTATGCTCTATCCTCTTCTGAGCCAAACCAGCTATGACTGCAACTTTTTATTTAGTCTTCTCAAGGCCTTTATCTTCAAAGAACAATTTATTTATGTAGTAGTTAGGTTAATTCACTTAAGCAGAATTAACATGACTGTGTTTGGTACATACTTGGGGCTGGGATAGTGGAGGTGGCTGGAACTACAACCACTAGCTGTTTAGCTGTACGTTTGACTGGCTTCAAATCTTGTGAAAAGTTAGGCCGGTAGGTTTGAGTTTAATTCTTACAGATACCTAGGAAGTCTTGGATTCGATTGGCTCATTGGTATACCTTGACTTGTTTTTCTTCCAGAACAATGTCTCCCTCTTGCAGAGCTGCATTGACCTGTTCAAGAACAACTGATCTGCCTTTTCTCTGAATGAAGGATATGAATGTGAAAAACAGCATCACTTGCACTTAAATCATCACCACAGAAGATTTATTACCTTTGACTTTACTTTAAAATTATGTTAATAAACATTTTGATTTCTAAAATCTTAACATTTAACCATGTTGGTTTAAAAATATTTCTATTACATGATTCTTCAACATAACTGATCTTTTCTTTACGCAGTTAATAACTCAGAATGGGCAGAATCTAAAAGTGGGTTCTCTGTAATTTGTCTTTATTTATTAAAGGGTGCAGGAAATATGTGCCTTCTGGAAACAAGTATAAGCAATTGTCTGGCACATGTAATCTCACTATTTCATGTGCCCATGTCCCTGCAAACCAGTTATTTTAGGGTAGGTGCCAATTAAATAATTCAGCTACTTGTTACAGGCAACAAACATTCCATTCCTTAATTAGGTAACTTTCCCCCTTAGTTCTTTATTAGTCATCTTAAGTGTTTGTGCTATAACAAGCAAGAATGCTTCATTTATCTTTCTATACCCTTTGCAGTACCATTTTTGTAGTTGGGATATAACTATTTGAGAGAGAGGTATCTTAAGGGTATAAAAGCTAATTTGGTTTACTTTAGAAAATGGCCAGATCATCTTGTTATGAAAGATGTGAATGCCCTCCTAATTGGGCAGGTGGATGTTTATGTTTGGACATTTTATAAAGTATATAATAAAATAATAAACTATGATATATGGAGTGTTTTTGTGGAAAATAAAGCCCAAGATTGCAGTTGCAGCTGAGTCTTGGCAGTGGTGAGCTGCTTCATTGTCTAGTCCTCACGTCCTACACACACACACACACACACACACACACACATACACACCATTTTTCACAGGAAGAGAGAGGGATAGAGAGTTAGAAACATTGATAAGAGAGAAACATTGATCAGCTGCCTCTTGCACACACCTTATTGGATATGTGCCCACAACCAAGGTACATGTCATTGACAGGAATCGAACCAGTTTGCAGGCCGATGCTCTGTTCACTGAGCCAAACTAGTCTTGGCCCGTTCTAAATGTCAACAATTCTGAAGACTGTCAGAAGGTCCCAAAATATGGGTTTGCCTGCTTTGGTTTGCAGTTTTGACAGGTTTATATAAATAATACCGTGTCCTCAGAAAAGGATATGCCTATCTCATTGGTGGTGACTGAGCCCTAAAGATGGTGCTTTCCAGGTTTAATCTGAAGTTTTATTTTGTTAATCCTCACTCTACTAAGGACAGTGGTTGGCAAACCGCAGCTTGCGACCCCTGTCAAATACTACCCTTTACCTCTGCACACAATAAGCCACAATTGCCTAGTAATCCTCACACTTTCAACAACACAGTAACTTTAGTAGTCCAATGGTCAGCAAAGTTCTAACACTGCTATTTGAATACAACAGGTAGCATTTCCCCCCCTAACAAACTGCTTAACCTCCCCAGCCAGGTACAGGTACCTGAAATTTATTCAATGAGTTGGACTGTTGCTCCTACTTTATATATTTTTGGGAGCATGGTGCTGGAAATGAGTGGATTTAAATGGTGGTTCTGGTTCCTAACATTTCTGCCCTGCTTACCTATCACCCCCTGTACTATCTATAGTACCACAAATGTGTGGTTGAACTGGGTAACTAGGTGGGTTGCAACTGGTCTTACTATTGGACCACCTTGCCTTAAAGCTTGACAGGCTTTGTTGCACTTTGTTCTAGATGTGTTGCTGGTTATCAAATATAATAGGAATGCTGTATTCTGCGTCTTGGCTCTGCTTACTGCGTGGTCTAAGCTGGCACCCCCTCTGAGTCCATTGCATCTCCTGCAAACTGTCACAATACTTCAGGTGTCCTTCAGATTATTTTAAGTACATCTGAAGGTCATCAAATTTCATGTGGCTCTTAGGGAGGGATGTTTGTAGTCCTTTTCTACTCATGCCAGTTAACATCAATTTGTTTAGCCCCTTCCTGAGAAATCAGGGAAGGCAGTGTGGGACTACAAGCTGTGTTGTCCTATGTGCCACTGACCCTGTGGGGATGGGGGGGTAGATAAAAGGAAGGCAGCTTCCCTGTGGGCTTCAGCAGGAGGAAAGCCAAGCTGCTGGGCAACTTTGTAAGAGTGCAGGTGGGCTTGGGTAGAGCATTTTGAAATGTTTCTCAAAGCCAGTTGGTGAATATGGGCCATTTCAGATACATTGGGAGGCTTTTGTGCCCGTCTTAAACCTTAGAATGCTAGTAAGTGGGTTGCTTTGAGAAACTTGACAGCTCTCAGGAAAGGTGCATTGTAGCACAGAATCCCAGTTCTTAGGCATTTCACCTAAAGGAAGATATGGGGATGTAGATCAGCAAAGGACCATCTTGAGCAATAAAGCTTTGGTTGAAAGTGAAAGTGGTGGCAGTGACGCAGTGAGCCAGCATTTGCGTTGCCTTTGAGATTGTGAGGTTTGAGAGAATGCCTGTGATTTCTGGGAGCTGTTTCCAGCAGACAAGTGCTTTGCACCATCAGCTTTCCACCTATAGATGGCAGAAGTACCAAGGGCAGCTACAGGCACTCGCTTGTGGGGCCTCTTCAGGAACAACAGAGAGGGTAAGCCTGGCATTCTTGCAGAGTTGCTCAAACAATTATCTCGTAACAGAAGTGTCCTGGGATCTAAGATTACAAGTTGGTTTTTTTTTTTTTTTTCTTTTTTTTTTTTCTGGATGGTGTCTTTTCATTCCAGCAGCTCTCTCTAGGATTCATGAGGGCCTCTGATGCTTGGTGACCCCAGATAACCTGTGTTGCTGTGGCTGCGCCTTCTGTTCTGGGAACTTAACCTTTTAGGGGTTCAGACAGGGCCATGCAGCATGCCTGGAAGGAATTGGGGGAGGATCTCCCCCCACACCCACCCCCTGCCTGGGTGGGCAGAGCAAAGATTCCTCATTGTCATTTGGTTGTCATTCAAGGCCATTTTAAAAAATCTTTATTTCTGACTATAAAAGCAGTACATTTAAAGAGTTGAAACTGCCGACTTATAAACTAGGAAGTAAAAGTCTTACCACATTTCATAAATATCAATTATTGGAAAAAAATTTTTAAGGGAAGGAAAAAAAATCAGTTATTAAATGTTTATTTTTCCTAATGCATAGTGTATTTTACAGAAAACCATTCAGGATGCCAGCGTCGGGGATGGTATCAATTTCTGGAGGTTCTTAGCTCTTCTTGAATATCTCTGCTTCTGGATGGTCTGGAACATTTCTGCATCTTGTTCTGCTGCCCATCCCCCTGGAAAGGGCAGAAGACTGGAGGAGGGAGGAGGCCCTGCCAGCCTCGTCTTCCCTTCAGCAAATCTGGCCACCTGCAAAGTCTTCATTAGTGTGAATGTCTTACATAGTTCTTTTAGGAGGCTTTTAAATTTATTTACAATATGCAAATTGAATCTATTACCAGATTGTAGATACAAAATAATTAGCCATTTATATGCAATAATATTTCAAGGAAGAATATATTTTATATATTACCAAAACACTACTAACATAGTATCACAAAAGTTGTAGGAAATATTAAAAATCTGCAAATAACAGGATTACTTCTAAAATATTTTTTCCCCTCTGGCTCTGTTTGCTCATCAGTTTATATTCCTTACATCTCACAAATGAATGAGGTCGTGTGTGATACTTATCTTTCTCTGACTGGCTTATTTAATATAATGTTTTCCAGGTCTATCCGTTGCTGTTACGAATGGTAAGCATTCCTTTTTACAGCAGCGTAGTATTCCATTGTGTTGCTGTACCACAGCTTTTTAACCCATCACAGCCATTTTTATTTCCAATGGTTGCCTTCCAGCTCTAGCCCACAAGCATTAATTCATCTGGTACAACTCAGCCAACGGGGAGTTTGGGGTACAGGGTGTGGACTTCCACTGAACCTTGCTGCAAAGATTACACAGTGGAAGTCTCGCCAGCTGCTTATGTTTTAAGAACGGTGTATCAGTGGCCTTATTTTTTAACTGCCACGTTATAGATTCTTTCCTGTCATTTTGGTTAGATTGGAGATGAAATGGAGATCATGTGTCTGTTTTTTGCCATGTTGCCTCCAAACTTCAAAGCACAGGAGGGCACTATTCATGCCTCAAAGATCGACCTAAGACAAGGCAATATTCGGGAACAGCAAGTAAAAACAGTGCTGCTGGGGTATGAGGTTAGTACTAATTACTCTTGATTGGGGCCTGATATTCATGGTAATTTTTGACCTATTGATGGAAGTCCCAACTCCCTGTTGCCCTGTCCTGCCAGAGAAAGGTATCCGCAAAGCCGTAGAGCTGTTGAAACTTCAAGCTAGAATCAGCCTTTGAGCTCCAGCTGTGACTCCCAGGCCTCTCTGCTGCTGCTGCTGCTGTTGTTGTGTTTTTTTTTTTTTTTTAATATATATATATATATTTTTTTTTTACAGAGAGGTAGGGAGAGGGATAGAGAGCTAGAAACGTCGATGAGAGAAACATCGACCAGCTGCCTCTTGCACACCCCCTACCGGGTATGTGCCCGCAACCAATGTACATGCCCTTGCCCGGAATTGAACCTTTCAGTCCGCAGACCGACGCTCTACCACTGACCCAAACCGGCTTCGGCTTTGCTGTTGTGTTTTTATTTTTTAATGTTTTCATGTAAAGAAATGTGTTTATTGATTTTTAGAAAGAGAGGAGCGAGAGGGGGAGTTAAAAACATTGATGACAGAGAAAACATCGATTGGCTGCTCCTGCATGCCATACTCTACTCTGGGGATTGAGCCCACAACCCAGGCATGTCCCCTGACACAGAATCAAACTCTTGACCTCTTGATGCATGAAATGATGCTCAACCAACAGCCACACCAGCCAGTCCCTTGGAGTTGACTGCATCATGAGCCTACAGTTGTGTTAGGAGGTCCTGTGGGAGGCAGGCAGCCTGGCCGGGCATGTGTTTCGGGGCAGAAGAAGGAGGAGCCAGTGAGCAAATAGGTGATGCAAGAAGCCCC